GGTCTTCCATTTTGAGCAGGGCTAAGCAGCATTATATAATGCTCCCAGGCTATGGAATGCCCTGCCGGAGGAGATTCGTCAAATAACCAGTTTGGAGAGCTTTTAAAAAGCCATCAAGACTGATCTCTTCCGGCAGGCCTTCCCCAAATAGAACTGACCGTACTCAATTTATGTTCCTCCCTCTTTTTAGGCTGTTATGTTTTATGTTTTTATGTTTGTTATATCTTTTATAATTATTGGTGCTAGAACACCAGCTATTTTTTTTTAAAAAAATAGCATTATATGTAATTTTAAAGGGGGCTACTTGTTTTATTATGTCATTATTGTTTACTGTGGGATTTGTTTTATTTATGCAATTGTGAGCCGGTTTGATTGCCGAGGCAAAAGGCAGAGTACAAAAATAAAGTTTATTATATATATATATATATATATATATATATATATATATATATGTATGTATGAATGTTTGAGCTTTTGTTTTCTGTCCAGGAGGGATTCCAAAAGTTCCTCCATTTTGAGCAGGACTAAGAAGCATGAATTTACATTTCTATGGAGTTTATAACACGGGGGTAATCCTGTGCGGAAATGGGGCTTTAAATTGGGAAAAAAACGCAAAAGCGGTTAGATTTTCAGACAACTCGCTGTTAAAACGGAGTTAAAATGAGGTTAACCTGAACAAAAACTCGTCAAAAACTGCTTCTTTTTACTTTCAGAAAATATATATATGCATTTTATATGTATGTGTATGAGCAAAATGGAGGACCTTTTGGAATCCCTCCTGGACAAGAAACAAAAGCTCAAAACACTCTTACATCTTTTATTTTCTGTCCAGGGGGAATTTCAAAAGATCCTCCATTCTGAGCTTGACTCAGAAGCATGAATTTATATTTCTATGTGTGTTTTGAGCTTTTATTCTCTGTCTAGGAGGAATTCCAAAAGATCCTCCATTTTCACCATGACTAAGAGGCGTGGAATTGCAATTACATTGTTTTGAGCTTTTGTTTTCTGTCCAGGAGGGATTCCAAAATGTCCTCCACTCTAAGCATGACTGAAAAGCATGGATTTATATTTCTATAACTGGTTTGAACTTTTATTTTCTGTCCAGAAGGATTCCAAAAGGTCCTCCATTTTGAGCAGGACATGGGTTTAAATTTATATGAATGTTTTTAGTTTTTAGTTGGTCATGTCCTCCATTTTTCTTGAAGGGCCTACATTTTGTGGTGCCTAGTTGTCCTCCTTTGTGTTTAGGTCAGGGCCAAGGTACATTTTGGTTGGACCAAATAAACAGGGTGACAGACATCCTCCTTTTCCAGGAACTGTCCTCCATTTCCACCGTCTGTCCAGGAGGAATTCTAGTATGCCCTCCATTTTGAACATGACTTAGGGGGGTTGCAGATGGCCAGAAATAGTGCAAATTGAGTCCAC